TTCCTGGTGCTGCATCATGAGCTCCTGTGATGCTGCTGCTGTTCACAGCCCTGCTGCCACATGCTGAGAAAAGAAAAGACCGCACAGTTTAACAGCGAGTACACAGATCAGCACATGAAACCACTCAGAGACAGAGGTAACACTGATCAGTGCATCCTGAGTGCTGGCATTCATGTGGATGTTATTTTAAGAAGGATCTGAAGACTCTGGTGCACATGTGATCCACAGATCTTCCTCCTCTGTGTCAGAAAAGTGGAAGATTTTACTGACAAAATCATTTCACAGATGAAAGAAAAACCAAACGTCAGCGCACTGTGTCACTGAAACGAATGTGGAGATCACTGTGCACATGTTGTCATTACTGTACAGCTGACAGAAGGAACAAGGTTCACATGTCTTTGGATGCTTTCCGGGCTGATCCAAATGACAACCTGAAAATGAGAAAACAGACAAATCTGTTAAACCGCTTCACAGAAAATATGTGAAAGTAAGCAGTGATGTTTTTTCCAACTTGAAGAACTGATCAGAAACTAAACAGGACATTTTTAGGGGGAGCCAGTTAATCTTTAGGTTTCCGTGTGTTTAAAACAGCTAACAAGAAAACGTTTGCCTTATGAGCATGAGGAGGCCCAGCCTGGGGAACCTTACTGGAAACAGCCAGAAACTAGTTTGTGCTGTTTCCTTTGATACCGATCAGACGATCACGCTGAGGACGACTTCCTCCTCCTAAATGAATCGAACACAGCTCTGCTGCAGAGTCACATGCCAGGTGACGCTGGGCAGGTCCTCTTAGAGATATAATTTAATGCACTTAATGTTGTAAATGATCAGACTGTGAACCAAACATATTAAGCCCTAATTTATTAAGCAGTCACTAAAGTAATTAACTCTTTACCCTTTAGTTCTGGTTATTGTGACGTCTTACTGGTTGACTGAAACAGGTCAGTGCAGGCGACGAAGGCCGTGAGTTCGTCTAACTTGAGAACTGATCACATACTAAACAGAACATTTTAATGCTGACTGTTGTCAATAACCTACCAGTTCATCTTTAAGTCCCATTTCTTTGTTTTAAAGAAAGAAAACCACATCTTTGCAGAGACAAACTCAGAGTCACCTCTGTTGTTGCTTTGGGTGTCAAACGTTTAGCTCAAATAATTCACCAATGTTCTCACAGTAAACTCACTACACTCACAAACATGACAACACGACGTGTCTGCACTGTGTCAACGACAGAACTGTTGGTATCAAATAAAAGCGTGTGGATTACTGTGAACATGAAGCAGTGCAGTGACTGTGACTGATGAGCTCTGTTTACATTCTAATATTAATATGATGCTGAATGACATCAGTACTAAACAGACGCTCTCCTTGTATCCAGGAGAAACATTTGGTTTAGAATAGTCGACATTTGAACCTCTAGTTCATTGCACACTTCTTCCACCCTGATATAATCTCAGTGAGAAAATATGAGAAAAATCTCACCTTTGCAGAAGAAAATGATCAGCACAGTGACGCAGCACACAAACTGCTGCAGAGCCATGGTTCACTGCAGCTGTTTCAGCTCATCTTAGACTTTAAATATCTGAAATGTATGTTGAGCTCCGCCTGTTAACAGTCATCAGGGCCCCACCAAAGAATCAGGTCAGACTCGTTGGTCCATGTCCATAGAGTGTCCATAGAAAACTGAGTTAGCCGAGGGATGCTCTGAATGACAGCATCTACTGCGCTTAGCCTGTCCGCCATGGTCCTCGAATCCTTGGCCTGGGCAATGCGGTCAAGAAGCTTAATCATCTGCTCCATCTCAGCGTTAAACTCAAAGGCTGAAGAGTCTACGGGGTCCATCCGCGATCCTCTGTTATGTGACGGCTGTGTGCAGGCAGGAAAAGGACCCAAAGTGCAGACTCTGGACACAAACCTGAACTTAAACAGCTTTAATTCTGAACTCCAAAGGGTAACAAAACTGAGAATACAAAATAAGCTCACGCAGACAGAACACACAGCAAGATGAGGGTAGATAAGGGTAGTCTAAGGAGCTTGGAAGAAAAGCGACACGGACACTTCTTCTTCTTCTTCTTCTTCTTCTTCTTCTCTCAAAAACTGAAAAAAAGCCTGATAACATTTATCCCCTGACTCCTTCTGTACTAACCCTACAAGATCAAGCTTCATAGCAATGCTACTGAGATTTTGGACCAACCGTCTCCTCTATACCATATATTTCTGACACTGCAAAATAACATGCTCCAAAGTTTCATCCTCTCCACAATAATCACATTTCCCCGAGGCATGCTTCCCTATCAAGAACAGTGTGGAATTCAAACCGTATGTCCAAATCTCAGTCTTGACACCACCACCTCCTCTCGCCTACTCCTTCTTGTGGCTCTCCTCACTCCCACCCCCCTTTGGATTTTATATAACCACCTTCCCCTCCCTCTTCTCACGGTTTCTGCCATCTACCCCTCATTTGTAGCTTAATAATACTCTTTACTCCCTCCTGACCAAAATTCACCGCCAGATCAACTATCTCATGATTAGTTTTGCTAACCTGTCCGCTGCTTCATTCCCCCTTACCCCAGTGAGCCAGGACCCATACAAACACTACTGACAGACCCATCGTATATATCCTGAAAAGAGTTTGCTGAACCTCTAATAAAATATCTGACCTACCTTTCGAGTGACCAGTCTGTATGTAGCCTGGTTAACTAAAATGGAAATTATTATTATTAATTTACTACTCGGCTACATGTAGACAAACCAAGGCTGCACTTGAATCTGAACAAATAATCGTTTTCAGCGGCCTCAAATCTTCCACCCACTGTACTGCTAATAGAATTGCTAACATTTCTCCTGTAAACACAAACAATCCATTAATAATTCTCTTCCCAATCTTTACCATAAAGTCCAGAATTACTATTGCCACCCCCCACTTGACTAGCTATATATATCTGCACATACCCATAATACTGATCTATGAAACTCTGGGGGCAAATCAGGCCTAACGAGACAAAGGAAGCACAACCAGACACATTAACATGAGACACGGACTTTCAAAGTAAAACAGGAAACATAACAGACTGAACTTACAGACACAAACTCACAGGCAGACACTGCAACAGAAGGAACAGAGACGTAAACCATAAGACAGAACTCTAACAAAGACACCAAAGACTAGAAACGATAAATAATGTAATAAACTCAAAACTCCGGGTCAACGACTCAGGCCCCCTAACAGTTTTAAACACTTCAGTGTTAATCGTTTTGTTTCAGTTGTTTGAACAAAGTCACTGTGTGAATATGTCAGCTGACATTCGTTGTTGTATACAAACTGATATCCTGTGATTTATGCTTTAATCCTGTGATACAGTCAGTGTTGTTGGATAAACCCCGGCCTCTTAATCAAATGTTCACGCCTGGTTTCATTGGTATCATATCCACCCAGAAATCTGGACTTCATCATTTTGGTAGCTTCCCTTCATTGGCTTCCTGTTAAATCCAGAATTCAAAATCCTGCTCCTCACATACAAGGTCTTAAATAATCAGGCCCCATCTTATCTTAATGACCTTGTAGTACCATATCACCCTATTAGAGCACTTCGCTCTCGCTCTGCAGGCCTACTTGTTGTTCCTAGAGTATTTAAAAGTAGAATGGGAGGCAGAGCCTTCAGTTTTCAGGCCCCTCTTCTGTGGAACCAGCTTCCAGTTTGGATTCAGGAGACAGACACTATCTCTACTTTTAAGATTAGGCTTAAAACTTTCCTTTTTGCTAAAGCATATAGTTAGGGCTGGACCAGGTGACCCTGAATCCTCCCTTAGTTATGCTGCAATAGATGTAGGCTGCCGGGGGATTCCCATGATGCATTGAGTTTTTCCTTTCCAGTCACCTTTCTCACTCACTATGTATTAACAGACCTCTCTGCATTGAATCATATCTGTTATTAACCTCTGTCTCTCTTCCACAGCATGTCTTTATCCTGTCTTCCTTCTCTCACCCCAACCGGTCGCAGCAGATGGCCCCGCCCCTCCCTGAGCCTGGTTCTGCCAGAGGTTTCTTCCTGTTAAAAGGGAGTTTTTCCTTCCCACTGTTGCCAAGGTGCTTGCTCATAGGGGGTCATATGATTGTTGGGTTTTTCTCTGTATCTATGAAGCGCCTTGAGGCGACTTTTGTTGTGATTTGGCGCTATATAAATAAAATTGAATTGAATTGAATTGAATTTTGCCCTGACATCATTATCTGAACATTAAAACTGCAGCAATGTTAAAATGAATAATGAAAGGACTTTGTTGGCTTCTTTAAAGGTACAGAATATAAATTTTAAATATATGTTTACGTGTTTAACTTTGACCAATTTGTTATCAACTGATTATGAGTTATTTTTTATATTCAGTATAAATCTAATTGTGTGGTGGGTCACAAATTTACTTATTAGATACAGGTAAACAAACACACAGCTCAAAGTTTGAGTCATTTATTTTGCAACAATGACCTCCAGTAAAAATCTGTCATCTATGGTAATCAGAATAGCAGAAACACCCAAATCATTCAGACACATGGATTACAGGGATTACATTACATGGATTAAACAGCAGACGTGCACATAAAGCATCAAACACAAGAGTCCATGTTAAACATGGTCCAAAAGCTTCCCAGTAAAACCACAACAACCACTAACAACACTGAGATGGTCCTGGATCAGTTTAGAGTCCAAACAGAGATCATCATCACCATCAGTCTGCTGAACACAGGAAACAGCAGATTTTATAACATCAGACCTGATCCAGGACCCAGACTCAGTTACTGGGAACCAGAACAAGACCTGAAAGAAGAAGAGATGAGGACACAGTCACCAACACACTCTGAAAACAAACCATGGACACTGGTTTTAACAGATCAATGGCAATGATTCAGTAAAGTTTCATGTTTCAGGGCCTGAACCAGGTCTGAGAGTCCTCCAAAAAACAGTAAAAACCTGTGTTTGAAACATTAATGTAACTAACAGTTGTCTGGTTTTAAACTGGTTTCAGGTATGAACTGGTCTGTGAGTGAGAGTCCTGCTCTGACCTCGGGCCTTCCTCTTGTAGTAGATGAATCCAGCCAGAGATAAGATCAGACCCAGGATCAGTCCTGAAGCTCCGATGGCGAGCTTGTTCCTCTCTGACTCAGGCATGGACAATTCTGAGGAGGGATCTGAGTCACACAGGTGAGAGTCAGACAGGTAGGTATGTACAGGTGTGTACAGGTGTGTAGATACAGACAGGTATTTACCCCAGTCAGTGATCAGAGGTTTCTCCAGGCTGGCGTGCTCCACCTTACAGGAGATCTTCTCCCCAGACCTTCAACACAAACATCAGTGACTCTCAGATCTTAAACTTTTAACATTTAAACTTGCAGACCTCATATTAAAAATTGTTCAGGTTTCCATCATCAGAAATGGCGCTCCTGGACCTCATTCTACGTAGCTTGGCAAGAAAAGCGTCTGGACTTCTTTAAGTTGCTTGAAGACGTTTCACCTCTCATCCGAGAAGCTTCTTCAGTTCTAAGGTCAAATGGTGGAGAGTCCTAGATTTAAACCTAGTGGGAGTTTCCCCCCACAGAGGGACAAAAGGACCCCTGATGATCCTCTACCTAATCACATGAGCCAAGGTGTGAAAACGGGTGTGGGTCACAATCAGCCAGGGTTTCAGCTCACTGTGAAACCTGGCCTCACCCTATCATGTGATTTCCTGAGGTCAGATGGCCCAGGATGTGAGTTGCCCTTGTTAAATTCTCCCAATTCTTTAAATCTTTGGGCTGAAGGAAGGACAAAACTCTGTGTATAAATGCTCAATCAACAATCATTTTATTCCATACAATTCAACACTTTATGAGCAAACACCATCCGGATGGGGAGACATGCATGAAGAGGGTCACAGCAAAATCTCAAAATGGTGGAGGGTTAGTCAAACTCTTATAGCCTCTAGTGCCCCCACCCAGTCATAAACACTTAAACATTCACATACTTTCTCAGCTCTAAGGGCTTCTCATCCATCTCACCCATCATCAGTTTTAGACCCAGTTCCAGCTTCTGAATGCTTGACTGTCTTTCAACAGTTTGAGCCAGTGTCTTATTCTGCTTTAAAAGATATAATTGATCATCTCAAAATCTCTGGTTCCCCGCATGATATTCTTCCTTCTCGTTTCTTTAAGGAAGCTTTACATGTTATTGGTCCTTGTATCTTATCTCTGCTGAATGCATCATTGTCATCAGGTTGTGTACCGTCTGTCTTTAAGCATGCTGTTGTGCAACCTATTATGAAAAAGAAAAATCTTGACCCTAATGTTCTCACTAACTACAGGCCGATCTCTAAACTCCCTTTTATTTCCAAAATATTGGAAAAGGTAGTTCTAAAACAACTTCAGGCCTTTTTAGATGCAAATGGTATTAATGAAAAGTTTCAGTCTGGTTTTAAACCTCGCCACAGCACAGAGACAGCCTTACTTAGAGTTTTTAATGATCTTCTTTTAACTGTAGATTCTGGATATTCTGTGGTCTTAGTTTTACTTGACTTGTCTGCTGCTTTTGACACGGTTAATCACAACATTCTTCTATCAAGATTGGAACATGTTGTTGGTCTCAAAGGTACGGTTTTATCTTGGTTTAAATCCTATCTCTCAGAGAGGTCGTTCTCTGTTGCTATGGGGCAACACTCCTCGGCTTCTGCCCCTATTTATTGTGGTGTGCCTCAAGGGTCCGTGCTCGGTCCTGCTCTTTTCTCTTTGTACATGTTGCCCTTGGGATTAATTTTTAGTAAATACAACATCTCCTTTCACTGTTATGCCGATGATATCCAGATTTATTTACCTTTGAAATCCGATGTGTCTGCTTCTTTGCAACCTCTGTTCAACTGTTTGCATGAAGTAAAAATTTGGTTATCACATAATTTTCTTACATTGAACGAGAATAAGACCGAAATCATAGTCTTTGGTAGTCACACTCCGCTAGACCAGTTAGCTGATGCCCTAGGCCCTCTCGCTAGCCATCTTTCGTCCACTGTAAGAAACCTCGGAGTGTTCCTGGAGGGCTCTTTTAAACTCGAGAAACAGGTGTCCACTGTGGTAAAAAACAGCTTTTACCAGTTGCGTCAGATTTCCAAAGCAAAGCCGTTCCTTCCTTTAAAAGATCTTGAAAAGCTTATCCACGCATTTATTACATCCAGATTGGACTACTGTAACTCCCTCTACTCGGGCCTCCAACACTCCTCTCTTTGCCGGCTCCAGTTAATTCAAAATGCAGCTGCGCGTCTTTTAACAGGTACGAGAATTCATGAACACATAACTCCAATTTTAGCCAAATTACATTGGCTCCCTGTTAAATATCGTATAGATTTTAAAATTCTTTTGTTCACTTTTAATATTTTGAATAATTTAGCGCCCAGTTATCTTTCTGATTTACTCCATTCATACAATCCCAACAGGGCACTTAGATCATCCAACCATAGGCTCCTAGCACAACCTAGGACTCGAATGAAGTCGAGAGGCGACCGGGCCTTTGCATCCGTGGCACCCAGACTCTGGAATAACCTCCCCGTTCATATTCGCACTGCCGAGTCTATCCAGTCTTTTAAATCACGTCTTAGAACTTATTTTTTTACTTTGGCTTTTGATTCTGTCTAGTTGGCTGTTTTAGCTTGTTGCGTTGTTACCTATCGTTTGTTGTCCTCTTCTATTGTTTGTTTTAACTGTCTCATGTTTTTATTGACTGTGAAGCACTATGGTCAACACTGTTGTTTTTAATATGTGCTATATAAATAAATTTTGATTTGATTTGATTTGATACTTTCTAACTCTCAGTGAGCCTGAGTTATGGCCTTGGCTCCCTGTTTTTCTGTCCTTTGTCCCTTTTAGGGGGGAAACTTCCACTGGGTTTAAATCTGGGACTCTCCACCATTTGACCTTAGAACTGAAGAAGCTTCTTGGATGAGAGGTGAAACGTCTTCAAGCAACTCAAAGAAGTCCAGACGCTTTTCTTTCCAAGCTCCTTTGACTACGATGACCTGGATGACTGAGAACCTTCACAGACATATTGCCGTACATTTTGGGAGGAACACCCTTCAACTGGTGCGGGAGGATGAAAGGGAATCAAGAAAACTAGCGGATTATAGGAATGATCTCCATTTCAACCTGAGATGCAGACAAAGCAGAGTTGCTCCTAAGAGCTGGCGCCTGTCAGGAGATACAGAGCAGATTTGATTCTACGGAAAGCACAAAATCAGCTTCTAAGTGAAAGGATAAGACAGGTCCATTTCACTATAGATGCCCTCCAGAGCAAGATTAGCCAGACCCTGCAGGAACAGGAAACCCTTCTACCCTCTCCAATCTTAGAAGAGGTTTACAAGTTTGTGGACAAGGCTCAGTGGGCCCAACACTCTAAAGGAAAAGAAAGACCACGCAGGAAATTCCACACTTTGCTTTCAAAAACACACATTCCTCAGTCTGAACCTACACAACTCAGAGAAGAACACACACCTGAGGACAGTCAGGAAAAATGGGGGAAGAACTTATCAGACCGGAATCTCACTGAACCTGAAAAGAAGGTATTAGCCAAAGGACTTAATTTTGCCATCTCTCCACAACAGTTGCCCATAGTGGACCTCATCACAGCCACAGAAACTGCCATACGGATTAACAAATTATCACAGACAGAAGCAGAGCAAATCAGGATGAAAGTCTCAGCCACGCTCTCCAGTGCCAAAGTCCCTCCGTCCAACCTTACATTACAAGAAAAGAGGGCCGTCGCTTCCCTGAGCAAAGACCACAACATCACTGTTTTACCAGCGGATAAGGGAAGATGCACCGTGGTCCTAAATACTACAGATTACCATACAAAGATCACTACTCTCCTCAGTGACAACAATACCTATGAAGCCTTAAAGCGAGACCCCACAAGCAGCTACAAAAAGAAAGTTATAGCTTGCCTTCAAGACTTTGAAAAGGACAAAATTATTGACCGCCTTACATATCACAGCCTTTACCCAGGGCATGCCATACCCTGCATCTACGGACTTCCTAAAATCCACAAGGAAGCTGTCCCACTCAGACCCATAGTCAGTAGCATAAACTCAGCCACTTACAACATCTTGAAACACCTTGCTACCATCCTTGCTCCTCTCGTGGGGAACACACCACACCACATCAAGAACTCCACCGACTTCACCGACAAGATCCAGAAACTTACCCTGGACCCAGATGAAACCATGGTGTCCTTTGATGTAGTCTCTCTCTTCACTTGCATACCCACCACGGAGGCAGTGGAGACTGTCAGAAAACGACTACAAGAAGACAGCTCCTTGGAGGACAGGACCAACTTCACACCTGATCAGATTTGCACACTGTTAGACCTCTGCCTCACCACTACATACTTCAAATACAACGAAAGCTTCTACAGACAAAAACATGGCTGTGCCATGGGCTCCCCCGTGTCACCTATTGTAGCCAACCTTTGCATGGAGGAAGTGGAAAGGAAGGCTCTTGGCTCTTTCAAAGGAAGAGTACCCAGCCACTGGTACAGATATGTGGACAACACCTGGGTCAAAATCAAGACACAAGAAGTGGAATCCTTTACTGCGCACATTAACGCTGTGGATAAAAACATCAAGTTCACCAGGGAAGACACAAAGGACAACTGTTTGCCTTTCCTGGACTGCGCTGTGCACATTGAAGAGAACGGCAACCTCAACATCGAAGTTTACCGGAAGCCCACACACGAAGACCAGTACCTCCTCTTTGACTCCCATCACCCTCTGGAACACAAACTTGGAGTAATCAGGACCCTACACCACCGGGCAGAACATGTTCCCTCTAAGCCTGAAGGAAAAAAAGAAGGAACACACACATGTAAAGGAAGCACTCAAAACATGCGGTTATCCTAATTGGCCGTTTATAAAGTCAGCAAGGATGACTTTATCCTTGTCTTCCAAGGAGCTGTCTTCTTGTAGTCGTTTTCTGACAGTCTCCACGGCCTCTGTGGTGGGTATGCAAGTAAAGAGAGAGACTACATCAAAGGACACCATGGTTTCATCTGGGTCCAGGGTAAGTTTCTGGACCTTGTTGGTGAAGTCGGTTCTTGATGTGGTGTGGGGTGTTCCCCACAAGAGGTGCCAGGATGGTAGCAAGGTGTTTTGCAATGTTATAAATGGTTGAGTTTATGCTACTGACTATGGGTCTGAGTGGGACAGCTTCCTTGTGGATCTTAGGAAGTCTGTAAATGCAGGGTATGGCATGCCCTGGGTAAAGGCGGTGATATGTGAGGCGGTCAATGATTTTGTCCTTTTCAAGGTCTTGAAGGCAAGCTATAACTTTCTTTTGTAGCTGCTTGTGGGGTCTCGCTTTAAGGCTTCATAGGTATTGTTGTCACTGAGGAGAGTAGTGATCTTTGTGTGGTAATCCGGAGTATACTGGAGTACTCACCTGGGTGTGTACTCCAGGTGTGAGTGGGTCTGGTAGTACCAATCACCATCTGCCATCTCCTCAGTGGAAGTGACATCAGAGGTGACTTCCTGTCCATCTCTCAGCCAGCTCACTTTGATCTTACTGGGATAGAAGTCATAGACGCTGCAGACCAACATGGCGGGATGCTGACTGTAAGCAGGTGTTGTGGAGTGAAGTTTGACATACGGCTTAACTAGAGGATATTATGAGTTTCTGTTATTGTTAATGTCATATCATCAGGAATCATTGTATTCATGTGCATTAATAAAGATACTGTCAACAGCAGAGTCACATATAACCAGTCTGACATCAGATGATGAATCAGCTGTGAGGAGAAACATCAGCAGCTGCAAACATCATTATTATAAAGTAAGACATGCAGAGCTGTATGTGCTGGAAATCTACCAGACTTGAACCTGGATCTGGATCAGTTTTTATTAATATCCAGCAAAGTGCTGACTCAGAGTGAATCCAGTTTGAACCATCAGTGAACTGATCCTCCTGCAGATCAGCTGCTGTGCTGGTTTGAAAGTAAAATCTGACACATGGAGACTTGATGAGAAACTAACACCTTAACTCATCCACACATAAATGAACCCTGAGTGTTTTCACTCAGTTTAATATCAACATCAAACTAAAGGACTGAATCCACAGCTGGTCCCAGTTTGAATTTCTGCTCATCCAGCTGTTTGATTCCTGAACAGAAATTATAAAGTAAAAATTGCTCCCACAGTTGATTTTTTCACACCAAGCTGCTTGCCTATTGTAGATTCACTCTTCCCAGTCTGGTGCAGGGCCCTATTTCAGGAAGCCGGTTTAGTGGAAAACTGAGTAAGTATACCCTGAGTTAACGAAAACTCTGGGTTTTCGGTTTCACAAAGCGAGTTCAGATGAAGCCTCAGTGAGTCACTATGACGACACACTCCGTGAAGCTAACCTGCCCCCTAGCAGGTTTACTACAACTAACCCTGACTGTCTCCGCCCCTTTGTCGGAAACCTGACTGTAGGAAGTGTCGGACATGGCGTGCTCCTTCCTTGAAGAGCCAGTAGATCGTGAAGCCCAAATTCTCCGCAGAGCTCACCGCCGGGAGAGAGTGATCAGAGCGCGTTTGGACATTTTATCATTACCTGATGATTTTCTGTGCGAACGTTACCGTTTCTCAGCACAATCTATAAGTTATTTGGATAACATCCTCAGGCCATATATTACGCATGTGACACATCGCGGACATGCTCTCAGTTCTGTACATATTATTTGTATCGCACTTCGTTTTTTTGCAAACGGGAGCTTTCTGTATAATATTGGTGACGCTGAGCACGTTTCCAAGGCTACCGTCTGTCGGGCAGTCAGGAATGTTACAGTTGCACTGAAACGTCTCCTGTACTCGTTTGTGGTGTTCCCCGGTCACAGACCCACAAGATTTATCAAAGAGGGATGCCACAAAATTGCAGGTATCAGGATGACCAAAACTTAATGTATGATGTGGTGATACTTGGACTACTACTTAAATTTCACATTTATTTTCAGGGTTCCCAGGCGTGATTGGCTGTATAGATGGCACTCACATTCCAGTCATTGCTCCTTTAGTAAATGAAGGAGACTATGTGAACAGGAAGTCTTTCCACAGCATTAATGTACAGGTACATAGTTCCCTGTAGCATTTCAAACTAACAAATCATTTCATTATAGTAATGGATGCTAATTTGTGTTCTCTGCACTGTGAAGATCATATGTGATGCTGCCAACATTATCACAAATGTGGAAGCCAAGCGGCCAGACTCTGTCCATGACTCACAAATATTCCGTGAATGTACACTGAGCACAAAATTTGGACATGGTGAGTTGAGAATACTTTAAAATATATAAAGACCAATTGCTTCAGGGACATTTGAACTGAAGTGTATCCTTCTGTCTTAGGAGAGTTCACTGGCTACTTGCTTGGTGATAGGGGTATCCATGTTTACCCTATTTGCTTACCCCTTACTCTGACCCTGACCCGGGCCAACAGCAGCGATATAATCTGGTTAATTGCAGGACAAGAGCCAGAATTGAAATGACTATCGGAATGCTTAAGGCCCGGTTCCAGTGCCTGCAAAGACTCAGGGTCACCCCAGAAAGGGCATGTGACATTATTGTGGCATGTGTGATTCTTCACAACATTGCCACAATTAGAGGAGAACACTGTCCTTCTGAACCAAACATCAGCAGTGATCCAAACCATGAACATCCTGACCCTCGCACGGACATACAAGATGGAAGCGCAGTCAGAGACACCATATGCCACAATCATTTCCTTTGACCCATCACCTCAACATGTTGAAAGAAGAATAAACAGATTTTTTGTTCAACTGGCTTTATTGGTCGCCTGTATTTCCTGTACACAAAGTATTAAAAGATGTAAACCTCATAATGTGTCTCTGTTGCTTCCTCCTCTGTAACAGCTGTCAATGTTTCTTCATTATTTTCCTGTAGTAAAGAAATAGACAACATTGCTGTTCTACTGTAAACTCATATAATCTGTGGAGTATTACTCACAACTGCATGTTGGTCTGGCTCAACAGGAGGCTGCACCAGATGCAGTACACCACCACCATCAACTGATAGAATATGAGGTTTATACAGGTCACTTATAACTTACAAGGGACCAAATGGCAATTAACAAACATACCAATCACCTTACACTTCATTGTCATTATGCTCTCAGAGACAACCAAGACTGAGGGAAGGCAAAATCAGTAGGAAAATAACTTCACTACAAAATAATCCATTATGGTGAAGAGTTTATCAATGAATGAGCAGCACTGCAAAGGTGACTGTGAAGAAAGGATGTATGCACATCATGTATTATTTTGAATTTACCCCCTATGTAGGCACTTGTGTCTTGCGGGGTTATTGACTCAGAGGATGTCCCCGCAGAGATGCCTTCGGCCACAGGGCGCCCACTGTTTTGGCTGAGGGCCAACTGCTCAGGCTCTGTGAGTGGTGGTGGTGGAGGACCCCCACCTGTTTTTCGGGCCTCCGCTTTTTTTCTGTTGGCTATAACGGGCCACATTTGAGCATACAGAGTAAGCAAATATGTACTTGTAATGTGCTCAGATAATTTCAATAAGTGCTTACAGAAAGAAAATTAATGTAGCCTCTAACTGCAATTGATTTACATGGGACAAACAGACCAAGCACTATGGCTCATAATACAATTACACCTTACCTGTTTGGACTATATTTTTATATTTCATTTTTACTTGCTGCCAGGAACGTTTGGGGCCTGTTGGGTTGCACCTGCGCTCACATCACATCACAAAATAAAATGTATAAAATAACAAATAAAATAACATATGATAAAATAACGTGTTAAATGGGTGGAAATCCCTCGATCAATGTTTATATCAACACTCACGCATTGACTCTGTCAGCTATGTTTTGCCATGCGTGCTCCCTTTCTTTTGCAGCTGTGGCTGTGTTACTTTTTTCCGCGGAATTTGCATGTTATCGGCATATGCTGCCATCAGAATTTCGGCCTCAAGCGCTGTGAAATACATTGACCGCGCCTTCTTTCCCTCCGTCTCCATGGTGACTCGCTTAATCTGTGCTCCGCTTATCAGGGCTTTATGTATCCTCGTCCGCGCGCTTCACTTGGGGTTAAAGCAACTCCGCGTTGATTGAACTAATTGTTATCAGCCTTTCTGAAACGGAATATTCCGAGTTGGACAGTTCGGGGTTACTCAACCGTGAGTGTCGTTTTTCACTCTGAGTTTTCCAAACCGGCTTCCTGAAACAGGGCCCAGATGTGTATATGCATGTGGGGTTAGTATGGTTAATGCATTTTCAGTATGTTTTTGTGTTCATCTCTCATCACACTTTCATTATTCTCATCACTGCTTAAAACAACACACATCTCTCTGTTTTTTTCTTTCACTGTACTTTTCTCCAAAACAGAAAGTAGCATTACAGCTGTTTCAGACTGAGAAACACCAAACACTCTTCATGCTATCATTCATCCACACAACTATTTTATTTCTCTTCGTCCACTGGGCAGGTGACCTGCAGAATCACGTCTGCCCCAGCTGGATACCTTTCACACACACCATGACGTCAGACACTCTCACACTCGCGGAATTGATCAGGAGAAAAACTTTCTTCATCTTCACACTCTGGGACAGAAACACCATATGTTTTTTTGTTTTTTGTTTTTTTTTTTTGTGTCAGGGATGGATATGTAGTTGTAACGTTTGTGTTCACTAACTTTACTTTCTGTTTCCTACCTTGCCTAGTCTGTAATGGACTCAATGCTGCTCCATATTCAGCCTTTAATCTCTCCTCCACTTCTGCCTCTGCTCTCTCACGCTCTTCTCTGGCTCTTCTTTCTGCTAACATTCTTGCTCTTTCTAATGCTTTTCTACGGTGTTGTTCTAGAGTAGTTCCAGTGGATTGAGCTGTGGCTTCATCCTCAGGTTTCACAAGAACTTCTTGCAATATTGCTCTTTTAACATTCTGTGCTTCTCTCCTCTTCTGAGCCTGCTCCAGCCACAACTTAGCAACTGCTAACTGCAATTCCTTCCTCTGCTTCGCTTTCCCTGTTTTACCTGCTACACTTACAGCTATTCTTTCTACCAGCATTTTACACTGAACTTCCACTAATGTCCCTTCAAATCCATATTTCTTACGCCAACAACCTACATACTGTGTGCTGCCTGGTAAAACTTTCTGCATAAATTTTACATCTCCTTCTAAGGCAGACTTACACATTTTATTCCCCATTACAAGACAACAATCAGCCACACTCACGCAGACCACGTCTGGCCCGCACACACACACACAACATAGGCCTATCGCTTGCGTCTGCACGAATAGCTAGCGCTCTCTGTTGAAAACTCTCAAACGCACCATATGGCGGAGAATTCAACCTTCGGACACTCTCCAACGCCCCAAATGGCGGAGATTCCGGACTCCGAACCTAGGTTCTCTCCACGCCCAAATGGTGGAGAAGCCTGCGTCTCTCTCACGCGGCTAGCGCGCTCCCGGACTCACGTTTAACGCACAGCCCGTAGCCGCTCTCTATTGTTTTGGGTCACGTGCGCTCTCATGACCAGCGCTCCCCGGGACTCAAACGTTTCACGCAGAATCACGGTGACGCGTATCTAGGATCCCACATTCATTCACACAGTTATAGAGACGCTCTCTGATTGCTTACCGCTGTGTTGCATTTCGTTCACAGGAGAGTCCTAGAATCCCGTCAGTCGCCGTCCACGAGGGAGTTCAGACGCTATTCCACCGGCCTGGTCGCGAATTTAACACTCCAGGGCTTTGTCAGGCGTCCTAACGGCCTGGTTGTCGACAGTCTGCGGCGTGTCCTCTCTCCCCTCAGTGTGCGGCGAAATTCTTGGAATCCGGCTCGAAGGACCAAAAATGTTGGGTCTAAACTCAGACCCCGCTGTATCTAAGACGTATTCCCATGAAAGAAAAGCAAGGCAACAACGTTCGATCGATTTCTTGCGCAAGGGAGGCCTCTCATCTGTGACCAGCACGTTGAAATGACCACAATGGTGGCCTCCTCTCGCTGCCTTTTATTGACAAACTTCAAACAATAGTTTACAAAACACCTCCCCTTGCAACCCCCCTTTGGTTACAAAGACAAGGACTGTATGTAAATGTATATGTGTGTGTGTGTGTGTGTGTGTGTGTGTGTGTGTGTGAGAGAATGTGTGTGTGTGTGTGTGCGTGTGTGTGTGTGTGTGTGTGTGTGAGAGAATGTGTGTGTGTGTGTGTTTGTGTGTGTGTGTGTGTGTGAGAGAATGTGTGTGTGTGTGTGTGTGTGAGAGAGAATGTGTGTGTGTGTGTGAGAGAATGTGTGTGTGTGTGTGTTTGTGTGTGTGTGTGAGAGAATGTGTGTGTGTGTGTGTGTGAGAGAATGTGTGTGTGTGTGGTGTGTGTGTGTGTGTGTGGTGTGTGTGTGTGTGTGTGTGTGTGTGTGTGACACCTCCTGCTGACCAAAAGGGTCATAAACCCAGGAAGCTTACATCAAAAGAAACAGATCTTTCAGATAGGATGTATCTACAATAAAACCTCCCCCAGCACAGAGTGGCTGGAGAGGTGGTCAGGATCAAAGAGATGGCTTTGATCCTACTGCTTAAACTAAGACTATACAAATTTAAGAAACACAATGGCAACATTCAACAATTAGACTTAACAGAGACCTCACACAGAGCACATATGCTGCAGGTGTGCTGCCTGTTATCGGACCCGGAGTTAGCAACATCCCCCAGGAACCCGAAGAGGAGAGTCCTGGCCCCTAGCCCTGCCAGTGTAGCAGAAATGATGAGGATGATGATGCAGCAGCAGCTGTTCTTCTCTGCGTGAGTAGTTTAATGTTGTTCGTGTGTAATTTACGTTGAGTAGGCTAACCACGTTATTACATTAATGCATGTAAGGTGAACTAGCAACATCATCATAGTTACATGCGGCTGTCTTCTTGTTTGATGGCAGATACTCCCTTCACCCTGGTCAAAAAGGCTAAAATGACCAAAGAAAAAGTGGAAAACAGCTAAACATGAGAGGTTTTTGGATAAAGTTTGTGTTTTTTCCATTGTTTAAGCACTGCTTACAGCCAAGAGTGATACCATATATGCCCCATAGCTGCAGATAAGGCTAACATTGTTATCTTTTTACAAAAAACCAGCTGAACATGAGAGGTTTTTGGACCAATTTTGTGTTCTCCATTCTTTAAGCACCGGTTTGAGCACCGTTTAAGCACCGGCACCGTTTCAAAAGTACCGATTTGGCACTGGTATCGGATAAAACCTAAACGATACCCATCCCTACTCAGGACACAGGATAAGGTCAGAATGAGACTTTGCACTGAGAGACAGAAGAGCAGCTTCATCACAGAGTCAGTTTACTGAGTAAAAAAGACCAACTGGAAGAGGAGAAACACAGTCAGCTGCAGGTCACCAGAAATGTTCAATAGTTTCTTCAGATGTCACAAAAGCTGTTGGACTTGACCTTTGAACCTGAGCTAAGACCTCATCACTCTTTAAGCAGAAATAAAGTTCTCCATCACAGGTTAAAATCCTCTATTCAGACTGTTAGTTTTAATTCTGTCAGTTTGACTTCAGTCAGTGGATAATTATCATGACTGATTCATTAACACGTGAACATTTTCAGATAATAAATGTGACACACTGATCTGCTTTAGTCTCAATCAGTTAAAATCAGCAGCAGGTCAGCTTTATATGTTTCTGAAGCCAGTTATTTTATTTATGACCAATAAAATACACCAGTGATATCAAAATAAATAAAAATAAACATGTTTATATCATAGTTTTTTTGTTTAGTTTTTATTTACAGTGACTTTTTTCCTTTTCATTGTTTTCCTGTTTGGTCTGCTATGATCAGGCAGAAAAATGAAATAAATGATATAAAACCCAAAAAACTTGATTTAAGATTTTGAAAAGACAGAGACTTTATAAATATTGATTATTGATCAGTGCTGTGTGTCTCAGACAGTGTTCACCTTCAGCTGCTGTCTGCCTGGACACTGATGACATCATGAGCTGTGAGCTCTGTGATTGGCTGCTCTGTGTTAGAGCTCAGCTGCACTTTCAGTCACTCAGATACTTCACTCACACTCTGTGAGGTTCACACACAGACACACACACTCAGAGTTTAACTGTCAGAGAGCTGCTGATGAAGATGAAGGAGCTGCTCCTCTTCCTCTCCTGTGTCCTCTGTGTCTCTGCTGACGGTGAGTTTGTCTCTGTAAACAGCAGCTTATTGATCAGGTCATTGATCAGGTCACTGATCAGTGTTTGATGTGTTTCAGCTCTTCATGAGGACATTGGTATCAGTGGCTGTTCAGACTCTGATGGAGAGAACATGTATGGACTGGATGGTGAAGAGAAATGGTACGCAGACTTCAACAAAAAGGAGGAAATCTACCCTCAGCCTCCTTTTGTCGTCAACCCTTTCCACTACCAGGAAGGAACTTATGAAGGAGCTGTGGCTAATCAACAGGTCTGCAAACAGAACCTGAAGGTTGATATGCAGGCATATAAGAACCCTCCACTGCAGCGTGGTGAGAAACTATTTCCTTCACTTTGAATAAAACTGTTTAAAACATTGATGTTTAAGGTAAGTTACGGCTGCAGTCACTGCTAACAAAAACAATATTTTTGTGACAGTGAAATTAATTGTGAAATGAACCTGTGAGATTTCCATAAAGAGGTGACAGCTGCATAAGCATCTGTGGCCACATTCAGACAGCAGAACTACAAACTGTTTAAGGTTATTAGGAGGTTAGGGTTAGGGTTTTGGTTCAGGGAACTCATTGTGTCATTCTTACAGTCTGTCTGTCTGAACATCCAGATAAATCCAGATTTGACTTATGAAGTCTTAGCTCAGCTTTTTGCCCATCTACACACTGTAATGAAAAAATTCAAATATAAAACTACCTATAGAGATACAGCAGTTAAAATACTGGGAAACATCATGAGAAAATGAATCAGAATTTAATGAATTGATACAGATTTCACTTTTTAGCAAGCATCTTAAAATAAGAAAATGTATCAAAACATTTTGTTGTATTTTACAGATAATTACTGAAAATACAAACAAGTCATGTTTTAATATTTCATACAAAAAAACTCAAATTTGATTGTTTCCCAGGAAGAAAACATGACCCTGTCATGTGTCAGACTGTCTGTGACACATGACAGGGTCATGTTCAGGTCCCATCCCTGTGTGTTTATACATATGGCTTTATGTATCAGCAGGGCTCACATGATGAACATCGGTGTAGCTGCGAAATAAATGTGCTCATCTCCAACACTGATGTGATCTGTGCTTTTATTCAGATGCTCCTTCAGGTGTGATGATCTACACCAGAGATGAGGTGGAGTTTGGAGAGAAGAACTATCTCATTTGTTATGTGACTGGTTTCTATCCTGCTCCTGTCAACGTCTCCTGGACTAAGAACAAAGAGAAAGTCACACAAGGATCCAGCATCAATGTTCCCTACATCAACAAAGATGGGACCTTCACCCAGATCTCCAGACTGCAGTTCACCCCACAGCAGGGAGACATCTACAGCTGTGCAGTGCAACATCTGGCCCTGACACAACCAGAAACTAGACTCTATGGTGAGAAAATATACCCTTTATTTAAAGTGAGAACACTGACAGAGATACAGAGGTGACTGTCCTCCAGATATGGAGTCTGACTCCAGTGTTGATCAGGAGTAGTTGGTCACTGTTTTTCCTCTTTGTGTCCAGATGTGGAGGTTCATTTCTCTCTGTGTTTGTGTCTCCAGAGGTGGAGTCATCTGGTCAACCTGATCCAGGTGTTGGACCCTCTGTGTTCTGTGGAGTGGGTCTGACTCTCGGTCTGCTCGGTGTGGCTGCTGGAACCTTCTTTCTCATCAAAGGAAACGAGTGCAGCTGATTGGCTCACAGTGATGATGTCATCAGTACAGAGACAGTTGTATTCATATCCTCATTCCCTCTGTGGTGTCTGAGGCGAGGGCCGTCCTCTGTGCAAACACAGACCTGCTCGCTCGTTCCTTCACACTGATGTTTGAATTACAGATGTTTATATTTCTCTGCTTTCGCACTGTGTTTAAAGTAAAAACTAAGTTTGATTAGAAACTGAAAGCATATTTGTTTTAATCATGAAAGTTAATAAACAGACCTTTGCTGAAATCATTGCTGTTTTCATTACTGGTTGATAAATCAGTGGTATTAATATTTCCCTCTTCTGCTTTAACTGGGAGGACAGTTAAATGCAAATGACCTAAAATATAAAACTAAGAATAAATTTAAAAAAAATAAGTGATTTTTCCTGGATGGTGTTTGCTGGTCTGACACTGGTCTTCACAACTAATATTAAAAAATGTTTAACGGTCTGAAAGAAACTTGTGTAATTGTTTGGATGTAATTATGAGTTATTGACTATTTATGCAGTATGTGTGTGTCTGGTTACTGTCCATTGTCGTAGATATAATCAAGCTGTATGAGAAATGTGTTTCTGTACAGCGGTCAGAAAGATCATTAAAATGTTCAGGTTTATATTAACTAAGGTAACAGAGGCAGATTACTGCCATTACTGCTCATGTTACCTGACAGAACCTGAACAGATGGAAGCGGAACCGAGGGTGTTTGTCCTGGTAACGTAATTAACAGTCTTTCCTTTAACCGTATGTGCAGACTTAGGCGAGCGGGAATTGTCTTTCATCCCTCCCTGTGTAGAGGGAGTAAAACAAAACGGATCCTCCCAGTCCACGTCGTCATCCATAAGGGAAATTCCCCATGGATCGGAAGTGAGCCGATTGTTGTTAGCATCAGACGGGACGTGAGGGTAATAGTCATTGTTACTCACCACCGTGAGCTCGGCACTGTCCAGTTTATGGCGACGGGCGCGCCGCTTCCTTCGAGTGGAGGAAGCCGGCGGAGCGAGCGACTGAGCCCCCGGTGCACAACACGGCGACAACGAGGCTGGAGCGTGAGCGCCTGTAGCCACCCGAAAAACTCCCACCTGAAGCGGACGAGGTTTGGAAACAGTCGGGGACTTACGGCAGCTCTTGGGACCTCCGAGAGCCAGCCGAGTCCCGTGGAAAATCCGCTCATACTCGGGGGCGCGCCACGGCTTCCAGCGGAGCTCCTCCTCCAGCTGGGCGAAGGCTGCCTCCCGACGCTCGTAAAGCTCGCTGTCTGCTGAGTCCATAGTGGTCAGGTCGTACTGTCACGGTCTGGCTAGGGCAGACCGTATGTTGCAGGGAAGGACTCAAGCGCAGACCGAAATGAGATGTGAATAACAAAACAAGCCGTTTATTAAGGCAAGAAACGAGGGTACAAAATAATAGGGAATCGGTGAAAACTAAACAATGACCTAAACTGGGTGAACTAAAACGAAACGTACAAAACTCTAAACATAACGAACTGACAGGGATACCTGGAGCGGAGACATAGGAAACAACGGACGAGTACAACGGGTGAATACAACGGACGACCTGACAAAGAAAGACTGAGAGCACACAGACTAAATGGACACAGGAGGATAATGAGGGAAGTGGCAACACATGGGGGACCCAGCTGACACATGAACATAATTACGTCACAAGGGGAGAGTAACTGAACATGATGAACACAGACACACCAGACCTCTTCACAATAAAACAGGAAACACAGTGAGATATAGACATGACAACCTGAACTGACAACATAAGCCACAGACATGAAATACATGAAAGCAGGGGAGACTTAACATAGTGGAAACACGAGGGGAAAATAACTAGAAACACCTAGGCATGATAACGATGAACTTAGGAAACCTGAAGGCTACATAAACTAAACACAAAACGCTGGGTCAGCAGACCCAGGATCATGACAATCCCAGACTTACATAAATCACTCCGTCTTAAAAAAATTCGTAATTTAAAGCAAATACGGGTCTGGCTGATAATAGATCACAACAAAAGAAATTGGCACGTTAGAAATATGGGAAAACCACACATCTATAGAGAATTAGTATTTGTACTGCAGTCTGAGCTGTGAGCTGGTCTCACAGAGTTCTTCCTGGTAACAGCTGACGCTGTGGTCATGTGACCTGTCCTCTGTTTTTAGAGCAGCTCTCAGTCAGACTGAGTCAGTTTGTCAGGAGAACTCAGGAACATGGCATCATCCTTCCTCTGCCTCAGCCTCCTCTTCATCAGCCTCAGCACAGCAGGTACCATCAATATACACTCATTAATACACTGCAGAGACACACTGATCAATAATCTGACCAGTGATGTGATCAGTTCACAGTCTGATGTTCTGTTTGTTCTCAGATGGATTTTTGGAGTATACGATGGATCGCTGTGTGTTTAACTCCACTGATCCGAAGGACATCGAGTTCATCAGATCTTACTATTTCAACAAAGTGGAGGACGTCAGGTTCAGCAGCAGTGTGGGGGAGTATGTTGGATACACTGAGCCTGGGCTGAAGTATGCAGAGAACTGGAACAAAGATCAGGGACAGCTGGCTGCAATGAGAGCTGCGAAGGAGACGTACTGCAAAACTAACGTTGGCCTGAACTACCAGACTGTTATTACTCAATCACGTGAGTATGCAGTAGTCTGTGTGACATCATCAGGTGTTCATGTTGACCTCACTCTGAATCATTCATGATGGACTCACAGCTGCAGGTCAGACTCTGGTGATCAATAACTGTAATAAATCATTGATCACAGCCCTGACTGTGACTCTAACCTCAGTCTGTGGCGCTCCCTGCTGGTGAAACAGGCAAACTGCAGCTGTTCTTTATAACTCACTGATGATTCATTAAACCTCTTTAAGCTGAAATATTGCTCACATTTATTTTTAAATATAATTTATATAAATATTTCTAACAGCATGAAGCAGCCTGACATGTTATTAAAAGACTTTTTCTTCTTTTCTTCAAATTCATTTATTTTAATTCAGATAAAAATTAGAAACAATTATGGTGTTTAAAGGACGTCTGCAGTTTTTCACACCTTGTTTATCAGCTTCACACCTGCACACATTTACAGCTCAGATCTATGAGTCAGTGTAACAGTGGAGCTATTAAATATGATGAAACAATTATAAAGTTATCATCATAACCCGGAGGAAACAGCTGCTGTGTGAATGTCTGTGGTCACACCCTGCTGCACTACACGAGTGTTTGTGTGTATCCGACTCTTCCTGTGTACTTGTGTCTACAACACACACACACTCAAACACAGAGCTCAACCACTGTTGTTTAATCTGTGTGTGTGAAGAGTCCCTCTCTTTATGGTGTCTGCAGTAAAATGAGCAAAAGTGCTGAAGCGGCTGATGAATTCATGATCAGCTGATCCAACTGATGGGGTGAAATGTATTCAGAGTGCAGACACACACCCTGTGATGTAGGTAACTTCAGGTCAATAATTGTTAAATCTCCCAATTCTTTGATCTTTGGCTGAAGGAAGAACAGCACTCGGTGTATAAATGCTCAATCAACAATCACTTTAATCCATACAATTCTTATTATTCCATACAAACACAATGAGCATTCCGAATCACTTGGATGGGAGATATGCATGACAGTTTCTCACATTCTTTTAGCTTCAGCCCCCCTCCAAAGTCATAAAACCTAAATATCCACATTCTTTCTTTATATATACTGATATATAGAGTACCACAGCAGGTGAGATGCAGGAGGAATGATAAATGGACTGGTTCTTATGCAGCGCTTTTCTACTCTGAGTACTCAAAGGGTTTAGTGCCCTTTGGTGCGTTTTTCTTGCCTTCAAATTGTACATGATTTAAATATCTTCGTGTTATTCCACCTTATTGTTCGAGAATCATGTTAAGAACATATCTAAAATCATTGATTTAACCTACACAATCTTCAACAAATTAGATCATTGCTGCCAAAAAATGCAACCAGGATGTTTCTCTACTCTATTATTTTTTTCTCATATAGAACAGTGTTTTTCTGATTGGTCACTGGCAAGTCATGCTACATTAAACCAACAGAATATTTATTTAAAAAGGCCTTAAAAGTGTCAGACAGAAAACCTTTTTCCTTCCATCACTATCTCATCCCTCATACTTCAGAAATATAGTATCTACAGTTTTAAATTATTAAAGATATTTAACTTCACTTACTATTTCAAATTCAAATTTTATTTGTCACATACACAGTCATGCACAGTACGATATGTAGTGAAATGCTTAGACAACTGCTCGTGACCTAAAATAAAAGACTGAATAAGATAGGAAATTAATATGAAAATTAAAATGAAGGGTAAATTTAACTATGAAAGAATAAAATAAAATATAAAAATTAAGTTAAAAATGAAATAACTGTACAACACAAATTAGAATGAAGGGTAAATTTAACTGGGAAAGAATAAGATAAAAATATATAAATTAAAGTTGAAAATAAAATACTGTACAACAAAATACACAATACACAGTATAGAACTATATAAGAATTTATGAAGAAATATAAATAAATAAATAAATAAATATATACACAATATCAGCAGCTGTACAAGTATTAACTGGAAATGAAGAAATATAATGTCCAAGGTTGTGCAATCCACATTATTTAGTGTCTTGTGCAGTGCAAATATGCTGCTTAAAGTGATTTAGTGATGAAGTGATTAGATGACCACGCATGTAATTGAATTAGTGAAAACAAAGTCCAGAAAGTCCAGTGTGTGTGTAAGAACCATATGTGTGGGTCAGTACTGTGTGGTGGTGTGATTGTGATTGAGAGACCGTATCGCCTGCGGGAAGAAGCTCCTCCTCAGTCTCTCTGTGTTGCTCTTCAGGGAGCGGAATCGCTTTCCTGACCTCAACAGAGAGAACAGTCTGTTGTTGGGATGGCTGAGGTCCTTCACCATCTTCCTGGCCTTGGTCCAGCACCGCCTGCTGTAGATTGAGTGCAGGTCAGGGAGCTCGGAGCGGATGGTGCGCTCAGCTGACCGCACAACCCTCTGTAGAGCTTGTCTGTCCTGCATGGTGCTGTTCCCGAACCAGGTTAAGATGTTTCCCGTCAGGATGCTCTCTATGGTGCAGGAGTAAAAGTTCCTGAGCACCTTGGAGGGCAGTTGGAAGTCTCTCAAGCGTCTGAGGTGGTAGAGACGCTGTCGGGCCTTTTTCACCACAGTGTTGATGTGACAGGACCATGACAGGTCCTGCGTGATGTGAACTCCGAGGTATTTGAAGCTGTCCACTCTCTCCACTGGGCACTCGTTGATGACGGGGGTCTGGTAGTTCCTCTCCTGCTTAGTGCTGAAGTCCACTATCAGCTCCTTTGTCTTACTGACGTTTAGAAGGAGTTGTTCCTCTGGCACCAGTTCTCCAGATTCCTAATCTCCTTCAGGTAGGCCGTCTCGTTGTTATCAGAGATCAGGCCCACCACGACGGTGTCGTCAGCAAACTTGATGATGGTGGTGGAGCTGGTAGTGGCCACACAGTCATATGTGTACAAAGAGTACAGCAGGGGGCTCAGAACACACCCCTGGGGGGCTCCAGTGCTGAGAGTGGTGGAGGCTGAGACATGTCCGCCCATCCTTACTGCCTGTGGTCTGCCAGTTAGGAAGTTGGAGATCCACTGACACATAGATGAGCTGAGTCCCAGATGCTCCAGCTTGGTGGTGAGTGTGGAGGGAATTATGGTGTTAAATGCAGAGCTGTAGTCTATGAAGAGCATTCTAACCCTTGGATGCACAACCTGTCAAAAATGACCCCAAATAGAAACAATGCATTTTTCTGTAAACTCGGTTGTTATTCTTCAAAATCTTTAAAACGAAGAGTTGTAATATTTTCATATTTGAGGTATTCCTCATAAAACATGTTTGTGACATGAGGCCCTTTGCATTTTTATTTATTTTTTCATTAATTTTAAGAAATTGGAGTTTTTGTATCACTTGTAGAAAGCTGTCATGTGGTTTGTTTTCGGTCGGTAGGCTCTGGTCCTCTTGTCATCAAAGTGCAAGAAACGGCGAATATCTTTAAATCTTTGAATTGACATAGTGGCCTTGTACGATGGGTTATGCAGAGGACTCCCAAAAAACACACCGACTGGTACATCCCACTTCTTCTCACTTCCTGCAAGAATGGTCAATCAAATGAAGGCCAGGAGCTTTTGTTTGATTACATTTTTCCACTCTTTCCCCTGTCTGTGGCTACTCTTCGTGCCTCCATGTTTGTGCATGTCAGCACCTCTTCTATTATATTATCAGACATGACCATCTTCCATGCATCTACTGGGGAGACAGTACTAAACCCAGGTGCAAGCCCTGGCCGTCTAATTCAGAATATTGTGGCTAGAGCAGTAAGAGGGGCTCATTCTGTTAGACTCAATATCCATTTCCTCATCAGAGGACTCAGATTCAGATTCTGAGTCAATGCCTCCGATGGGCTCTTCATCCCATCAGTCCTGGATCGTTTGTAGGGCAAGATCCACAGGGATCCTAAGTAATTGCTTATGGAGCTTGGTTCTTCAACATCTTTAAGAGTTACTTTGGTGTTTCTTCACCACAAAAGAAGCGCATATTCTCTGAATTTCCGGGGATACTTTTATTTTGACAGCAAATGCGCACCTGCGGACCACTTATGTGCAGCCCTGACTATAAATCATATACGTTACTATGTAAAAATTAATTCCTGATCCATCAGAAGTGTAAGTGAGACAGTCAGAGTTGCTAAGAATGAAAGTTTCATAGAAGATTCCACAGGAACTGCTTGGGGTCATTTTTAACCCCACTTGTGGAAGAGTGGGGTAGTGATACAAAAACTGCATTTTCTTTAAATTAATGAAAAAATAAATAAAAATGCAAATGGCCTCATGTTACAAACATATTTTATGAGGAATGCCTGGAATGTGAATATATTACAACTTTGCCTTTTAAAGATTTTGAAGAAAAACAACCCATGGGGTCTTTTTTGACCCCACGTGTGCATCTAAGGGTTAACATAATTCCCCCTTCTAGTGTCCAAGTGAGTGAGTGATGTGTGGAGGAGATGAGAGATGGCATCGTCTGTGGAACGATTTGGACGGTAAGCGAACTGTAGTGGGTCCAGTGTGTCTGGTAGTGAAGAAATGATGAAGTCTCTGACCAGGCGTTCAAAGCACTTCATCACTACTGAGGTGAGGGCTACAGGGCGATAGTCATTGAGAGAAGCAGGGTGGGGTTTCTTCGGGACAGGAACAATGATGGACTCTTTGAAGCATGTGGGGATCACCGACTGAGATAAAGAGATGTTGAATATCTCAGTGAACACAGGAGCTAGCTGGTATGCGCAGTCTCTTAGGATACGACCTGGGATGCCGTCTGGTCCTGCTGCTTTCCTGGTGTTCACTCTCTTGAAGGCTCTCCTTACTTCATGCTCGGAGATGACGAGCACGTTTCCGGTGCTGGCAGTATCTTCCTGTCTTCAGCCGTTAGCGCCGCTAGCACTAGCATTAGCATTGTTAGCGTCCTTAGCTGCAGCCTCGAAGCGAGCATAGAAAGTGTTCAGCTCGTCTGCCAGAGTCACAGCCGCGTTCGTTATACCGGTTGTTGGTGCTTTATAGTCCGTTATTGTCCTTAGTGATGTGCGGATCGATCCTGAAATATCGATTCCTCCGATACCAATCATTTATGTTCTAGAATCGATTCTCACATTAAAATATCGATATTTTAGTAATTTAGGGTAAATTTGTAGTTTAACATTAACAGCAACACAGTGGAAAGGAACTATAACATTCGGATTGTCTACATTCAAAGGAACTACTTCCTCTTCCGCCTTTCATAGTCATGTGTGAGGTGTCACTACCCGATCCGTACCGGAAACCCGATCGGTACCCCGCATGCGCGAAAGGTTTCTACATCCGGTCGTAGCGTTTTACGATAGTTACAGGTCAGAGTATCTGTTAAGATGTTAAGAATAACAAGTATATCTTAAAATGTTTGCAATAATGAAGCATTTCAGTACAATGTAGACAAAAACGAAAAATAAAAAGATAGTTACGGATCAGGACTCCCCGATCCTTACTGCGCATGTGCAAAGTCTGACCGTATAAATCGAGTCTACCCGATCCGTACCGCGCATGTGCAGATGTTTTCTTCTTCTTCTGTTCGTTTAATGGCAGTGTACTCCCCAGTGTACGAGGATACCGGCACCTGCTGACCGAGCGAATAAACCCTATTGTAAACTGAATTAGCGTCATTACAAACGTGTGTTAAACTTGATTTAGTGATAGTCGAGTGTGTTTATGCTTGTCTGTGAGGAGAGGATTGTTGGAATAGTGATGATGATGTGCGCTATCACTGCCAATTGTCAGTAAACACTTCATCTGGCTGATGAATCTACACGTGAGATATTACAAAGTCTGTATTATTAACTATGTAATTATGCGCCATTCTTCTTATTTTACGGCGCTGTTGCTCAATCGGGGGACGCTCTCTGTTGAGGAGAAAAGCATGAATTTCTTTGTATACCGATTATCCATTGTTTAAATGTCCCGGGCAGTCGAAAAGGAGGCAGAGCTGCTGAGAAATGCTAGGAGCTAACTGGGCGCTAACCGTATCATTCAAACATATTGAATGTCGCAATGTTGGCAAAGAGAGGAAGTGACGTAAGATTTGCGCATGCGGGGTACCGATCGGGTTTCCGGTACAGATCGGGTAGTGACATGAAATACGGCTTTTTTTTTTTTTTTTTTTCTTTTTTTTTTTTTTTTTAATACTTTAATTAAATTTATGCACATATTACAATCTCTCGTTGGGAGACAACATTTGTGCAACAACATCTTGAAAAGGTTGAATAAGAAATCAAACGAAAAAAAAAAATAAAATAAAATAAAATAAACACATATATACATATACATAAACATATGAAGGTCATTTTATGACATATAACAGTTTCCTTTCTGCGAACACTTTAACATACATGTGGCTTACTTAGTACACCAAAAACACAATCATTCAAAGGATAGAGATTGAGTCCCATTGTCGCATATCAAAGCAGCCTCTTTACATGAATCCCTCAGTAATTCTAAAGATGACAAAAAAGATTTTAATTCAATTTTCAATACAGTTAGGGAAGGTCTTTTACTTTGCCATTTGCATTTGTGTACGTGGTATTTGCCCATAATTATCACCACCTTGTGTAGCATGGACAGTTCCTTAGATGGATCACCATTATTATATAAAACTTGTGTTAGAGTCAGTGGGGTCATCCCATCTATTCTTATACTCAACCAGTCTACTAAATCTTGCCAAAAGTCAGTTGTTACTGAGCAGGAAAAAAACAAATGATCAATACTTTCTGCATTTGTGAACAAAATCCACATGGCTCTACCTCAAACCCAAACCTTTTTTTAAGCATTTCAGCTGCTGGGTAATATCCATTAATTATTTTAAATTGCATTTCTTTGACTTTGGGGGGGATAGGCCATTTTAAAAAGTGCGTATATTTGTTCGTTATTTTAATATTACTCCCTTTTAGTTTTGTGTTACTGTTAAAGTCGTGAAATAATTTGTTTTTAAATATCTTGTTCATGGTTTTATTATTACCGTTTTTATCCGTCAAAGGAATCTGGTTTAGATGTAAAGAAGGTAGACTAATTTGTGCCTTAGAGTAATACAAATAACCTTGAATCAAACTCAACAGAGGTAAGGGGATTGCCTTACAAACCTTGTCATATTCTCTAAGGGAACACTGAATGTTAAACTTAGCATTAAAAACACCCACTGAGAGAAACTGACCCCTTTCATCAAGTAAGTCTGTTATAAAGATTATGTTTTTTTTCAAACCACTCTTTAATAAACAATGACTTCTTATTAATTGTAATTGTTCTGTTATTCCACAAGGTGGAGCAATGTGGTGAAAAGTTATGGGCAAACACCATCTTCCAATAAGACAAGACCTGCTTATGATATTCTGACAGTTTCACAGGCAACTTCAATATATCAAAATCACATTTCAGGAGAAAATCCAACCCTCCCACCTTTTTGAAAATATTTTTTGGGATATGGAACCATATGGAGTCAGGTTTCAAGAGGAAGGCTTTTATCCAGTTTATTTTAAATACTCCAACCATTGATTGAAAATCAATTGACTTTATACCACCTTTAGCGTAATCTTTGACAAGTTGTGATTTTTTAATGTAATGTGTTTTATTGCGCCAAATGAATTGATAGATTATAGAGTTAATCTTTTTAATGCTTTTCGGGGTAATGTATAGTGAGTATGCTGGATAAACCATCTTTGAGACGCCCTCTGATTTGGATAATAGATTGCGTCCAAAAATTGTAATATCTCTCGTCAACCAATGATTTAGTGTTTTGGACATGCCATCAATTTTGTCTTTTAGGTTTTTTGATTCTCTAGTGTTGATGTCTTTGTCTAAATAGATGCCTAGATACTTGACTTCATTTTTCACTGGAATCGTCCTCATGCTATTTTCCAAACAATCATAAAGTGGCAAAAGTTCACACTTCTTCAGGTTCAGACACAAGCCTGAAGCTTTAGAAAAAATTGAAATGACATTCAATGCTTTCTCGAGTATTGATTTATCCTTTAAAAATATTACTGTGTCATCTGCAAGACATGAAATACGGCTGTATAAATGTCTCGCAGCCCCTTGGCGTGCGCACTCACAACAATGGCTGAGCCTAATTGGAGTCCACAAACAGCTGAGACGTGGTTTGCGATACATGTGGCAAAAAAATGCTCCAACACTGAGGTGTTGTGGTCATACTAGGGAGACATTCAAAAGGGCTGTTGGGGTTATAAATACATTTTACAGTGTTTATTTATCGGATAAAATACGTTAAATGTCACCGTTATTATTGGCCGGCCCGGAAACAGCGGGGGTGTCCAAATTCAGAGGCTGCTTCCACCTGAGGACCGGCCTTCATGGTCTAAAGAAGCCGGGTAGTACGTCACGAGCTCCCTCGGAGGAGTGAAACTGCCGTCTGCTCCTTGCTATCTCAAATATAACAGGACACTGGCGTAAACTCTGGACCGTCTCACACTTTGTTTAATCATTTTCTGTTTGATGTTTATTCAGCTGTGTGAAAACCCCGGAGGAACCCTCCCGAGGGATTAATAAAGTTAAATTTAATTTAATCTAATCTAATAACTTTAATCTCAGCCAAACCGATTTACTCATGAACAAATAAAACACTGAAAAGGCCAAACAAGAACATTTTTAATTATCAAAGTGACTTATATATCATGTTTAACCCGAGTAGCGAAAGCCCGCGGGGGTTTGAAGACGACGTGTCGGCTCAGATATTTGAAGTTCACACAGCTACATTCTGACCTGAAAATATGGTAAAAGTCTTTTTGCGACCCAGAAAGAGAAATAAGAGTGATATTAAAGTAATATTAAAACTAAGTAGCTGCCGTCATTTTTGGAGACTGGAATTGGCTGGGCCCGCTATGAATTCTGTGATATGGTTTTTCAATTTTGTTGTTCGGGTGGAAAATCGGGAAAAGTTTGGGAGAATGGTGGCTCCGGGAGATTTTTGGGAGGGCACTGAAATTCGGTAATCTCCCAGAAAAATCGGGAGGGTTGGCATGTATAGTTGTGGCAACATCACTAACCTCATCAAACACCTCATCATCATCATCATCATCATTTATTATTTATATAGCACTTTAAAAAACACACCTGGTAGACCAAAGTGCTGTACAATACTAATATGCACATAGTAATAAAACCAGACATAGCAATAAAGTTAAAAAATAAATAAATAAATAAATAAAAAAAAAAATGTCAGTTACCCACAGAGTTAAAAGCCAGGGAATAAAAATAGGTTTTTGAGGTGAACTGAGGAGGAGGACAGGGACAGGTCTGCTAGGGCGAGACAGACGTCTCTCACGGAGTCCTTTAGTGCTGCAGGCAGCAAGCTGTTCAAATAGCACAACTTCAGTTTTTTATTTCTATATGATGAACTCTGCATTATTAAGTGATAAGAACAAGTAATCTGATTCCTGTAATCATTATGACGCTATAATTTGAGATACAATAAATAAAATAAGTTTTTGTATAAAGTATCGGTATCGGATCAGTATCGTCGATACCACCCTGGATATTACTTGGTATCGGATCGGAAAGGAAATCAGTGGTATCACACATCACTAACAACATCAGCTAAAGGTAGTGAGAATGTGCTACCTTTAACACATTTAAAACTAATCTCAAGGAATGGCTAAAGAGGAATCAGATTTGTAATTACTTGTTTCATGTTATATGTTATATTTAATTTAGTGTATTCTTATTTATTTGTTGTTTTATGTTTATTGTAGTTTTAAATTTATGTTGTAGTTTTATGTGTTTGTAATCTGGACTAGACTGTTGTACTGATGGTTTGTTAAATTCCTTGTTTATTGTTCTGTCTGACCTGTCGGGGTCTACAGATGAAAAGTAACCTTTCAGCTGACTCTGACATATTTACATTGATATATGTTCATTAATATTCACTGCCCCTTTTAAATAAATAAATTCAAATTATACATAGAACATTAATAATAATACAAACTAATAATGTCTTGGCCAGCTCCGCCCACTGTCAAACTTCGCTCCATGACGCCTCTCTCCAGTCAGCATCCTGCCATGTTGGTCTGCAGTGTCTATGACTTCTATCCCAGTGAGATCAAAGTGAGCTGGCTGAGAGATGGAAAGGAAGTCAGTTCTGATGTCACTTCCACTGAGGAGATGGCAGATGGTGATTGGTACTACCAGACCCACTCACACCTGGAGTACACACACAGGTGAGCATCATAATCAGACTTTTTAGTAAAAAGTCTGCACTAAAGTTTAAAAGGTTAACATCTGAGAGTCACTAATGTTGATTTGTTTCGAAGGTCTGGAGAGAAGATCTCCTGTGTGGTGGAGCACGCCAGCCTGGAGAAACCTCTGATCACTGACTGGGGTAAATACCTGTCTGTATCTACACACCTGTACACACCTGTACATACCTGTACATACATACCTGTCTGACTCTCACCTGTGTGTCCTCAGACCCCGTCCATGCCTGAGTCAGAGAGAACAAGCTCGCCATCGGAGCCTCAGGACTGATCCTGGGTCTGATCTTATCTCTGGCTGGATTCATCTACTACAGGAGGAAGGCCCAAGGTCAGAGCAGGACTCACAGACCAGTTTAACACCACACTGAAACCAGTTTCGACCAGTCTAAATCATCACCACATTACATGAGGCTAAAACTGGTTTGGATCTGGTGTACATCAGTATTTTATATATATTGATGTTTTAAAATTCAGTTTCAGTCCAGTTAAACCAGTTTCATAAAGTTTAGACGAGTTTTTTTTTAATTTTCATTCATGTTTCAGACCCAGTTTTTAGTACTTTTTTTTTTTTTAAAGGACTCTCAGTCCTGATCCAAGCCCTGAAACATGAATCGTTTCTGAATCATCAGTATTGCTCAGTTTAACCCTTTAGTGCCGATCGGAGCGGGCACGCTCTGTTTTGCGTAACTATTTTTAATCCCAGTAGCACTGCAACCACGTAAGCTAGCGCAAAAAAATTTTTTGCATATGAAACCGGAGGAGTTGTACTTACATCTTATGCCATCAGCTTGTCCTCGGTCACGGTTTCCTTCCACATATAGCTTTGCAAAAACTGCATAAAAATCACTTGCAGCAACAAAAACATGATATTCCAGAAACACGCTTCGCCGATCCGATCAGCTGTTTGTAACACTTCCTACGTTGGAATAGACGTCAGCGCGAACTTTTGCATTTCCGCCATTACCTGCCCGAAACCGGAAGTGACGTCATTTTCACGGAAATGTAGTCTTTTTACCATCAGGGCCTTGGGGCCTATACTGCTCTTTTTAAAAGTTATCTTTGACTTTATGACTTTCTGTGTCGTTTCTGGGATGCTGAGGACTCATATTGCACTGCTGGAAATAGTTTATTTTGATGCATATGCTGCTTTTTGCAAATTTGCAGTATAATATTTATTTTCGTTTTTCCTGCAGTGTATAAAAATTGGTGTATTTCAAAAATAAAACTATGAAGACACTCAAAATAAATTTCCTGTGGTGGGAAACTATTTTGTGCAACTTTTTTGTATTTACAGTTTTGAGGGAAATTTCTCTAACTACAATATATGTTAAAAAAGCAAAAACGATTTTCAATTTTTTTGTAGTTTATTGCACTTTTTGCAATTTATGTAATTACTATGCACTTAATGAATACATATTATTAAAATCTTGGCTATAATGGTTGTATTGATGTATAGCAACTTGAAATGCTCCCAAAAATGGCTCCACAGCATGTAAAAATATAATATAAGCTCTGGCGGACTTGGTTCTATGGTAGGTCTTAAAGGGTTAAAACCAGTCTCCATGTTTGTTTTCAGAGTGCTGACTGTGTCCTCGTCTCTTCTTCTTTCAGGTCGTATCCTGGTTCCCAGTAATTGAGCCTGGATCCTGGTCCTGGTTCTGTCTGATGTTATAAAAGCAGCTGCTTCCTGTGTTCAGACTGATGATGATGATGATCTCTGCCTGGACTCTGAACCGATCCAGGACCATCTCATTGCTGTTGGTGGTTGTTGTGGTTTCACTCTGTTGTTTGATGCTTCACTGTTTAACTCTGCTCTTCAATCCATGTAATGTAATACCTGTATTCCAGGTCTCAGGGTGACTTTGTTCTCTCTGTTCATCTGATTCCAATTTACAGATTTTAACTTTCATGTCAAAATAAAATGACACAAACTCTCAGCTCTGTTAACAGTGGGGAGACCGTGTCTCAGGGGGTTGGGAAGCGCATCTGTAACCGGAAGGTTGACGGTTCGATCCCCGGGCTCTCTGTCCAGGTGTTTGGTTGTGTCCTTATGTTCAGCTACACTTTACCATATTGCCTACTGGTGTTTGCCAGAGAGGCCGATGGCGCAATATGGCAGCCTCGCCTCTGTCAGTTGCAGCCACAGCTTCCCTGGGCTAGCTTGCCTCCACCAGTGTGTGAATGTGAGAGTGAAGGAATAGTGGCATTGTGAAGTGCTTTGGGTGCCTTGAAAAGCGCTATATAAATCCAATCCATTATTATTAAGTCTTGTAGAGATAAGAGCATGTATTATCATCTCGAGTTCACTTGTTGACACGATGGATCTAAGTTTTGAGATGTTACTCAAGTGAAAAAAGCAGGTTCTTACTTACTCACCCAGTCACAGTCACCCAGTTGCTGTTTAATATCGGGTATTGTACTGTCTGGTGCAATAATCAAAGTTTCTGTTTTGGCCGGGTTTAGCTGTAAGCAATTACTGTTCAACCATTGTTTAATGTTGGTTAAACAGTCAATCAGATTGGAGAGCTTATGAGCTTCAGCAGGCTTAAAAGAATAATATAGCTGAATATTGTCAGCAAAAAGATGATAAGATACTTCAGGAAACTGCTGTATTATCTGGCTTAAAGGAAAATTGTATATTAAAAACAGAATAGGTCCCAGTACAGAGCCCTGAGAAACTCCACACAACAACTCTATAGATTCCGACGTGATCTGGTTTGCAGACACACTAAAACTCCTTTCAGATATATCAAAAGAAAAGCAGTGAACAGAGCAGACATCCAACCAGGTCTCTCAGTCTGTTTATCAGGATGGTATGGTTGACTGTATCAAAGGCTGAGGTAAGGTCTAACAAGACTAGGACTGTGTATTCTCCAGAGTCTGCTGACATCATAATATCATTAGTAACTTTCAGTAGTGCTGTCTCAGTGGAGTGCAATTTACGAAAACCAGATTGGAAACAGTCATAGATGTTTGTTTATCCAAATATGCTGTAAGGTGGACAGCTACTGCCTCTTTAAAAGGTTTTGACAAACAAAAAGTTTTAAATGGGAGTTTGGAGAT